CTAGGGAAATTATTTAATTATATTTGATAACGTAATGCAAACTACTATAAGAAAAACGTTATCCAGATATTTCTACCCCGAAACAACTTATTATAAACCAAGAACACATGACCACTGCCTCTAAGTTATCAGTGTTACAAGTGAGGAACTGCATATACTGTGCAAAAAGTACTAATATTCCAGTCCTGTACCAAACCAGGAGAGTGTGCGTCTTCATGCACCTCTTTGGTTATTAGTGTCCAGTCACATCCATGCTCCAGAAGGGGCCATTTTTAAAATTTCCTTCTCTAAAAAGGACTTGCTATATTGAAAGGTTGTATCTATTCCCTGTAAGTCTTGTACTTTGACAATTTCCAAACATTATGACTTTATCATTCTCTTAGTTGTTCGATAAATATTTATAAAAAAAACCCAATTTTTTTTTTTTTTTTTTTTTTTTTGGAGAGGTTTTCACTATAGGGCGCGTGCGCTCACCAGCCAGAAAGAGAGAGACATAGAGACAGAAAGCGAGAAATCACCCCCCACGGGGGATGGTCACGCCACAATCTCTTCTCCTCCATTCTCCTCTCGGGATCTTGGGCACGCACGCACACGCGCCCAGCGTGAGTTTTAAGCCACTGGGTCCGCGACGCGAACTGCGGTTGACTACGTGGGAGTCCAGCGACATAGCCATTACGCTAACTGCTGGTTCCCAAGACCAACTTGTTTTTAAGAATTATTTTATTTTTTTTTTCACGTGAATTTTGGCAGAGAAAGACAGAGAGAGAGAGAAGAGAGAAGGCCTCCAGGCCCAGGACTTGAACCATGGTCAGTCGTGTGGGAATTCCAACACCTTAACCACCACGCCACCTGCTGGCTCCATAAAAGACTAATTTTAAAGTTCAATACAGCAAGCGATGTCATAAACATAAGTAGGGAAAAGTGACAAATTGGAAAATATCATATTCTAAATAGATGACAAACAGAATCCATAATATATAAATAATTCTTAAAAAAAAAATCTCTCCCCAAAAAACGAATTGCGGCATGGCCATCCCCCTGGGGGATGGTTTCTATCCTTCTATCTCTCTGTCTCTGTGTCTCTGGAGAGGGCACACGCCCTAAAGCAAAAATCTCTCTCAAAAAAAAGTCAACATCTATGAACTTACATAATAATAATATTTGCACTCATACATAAAGACTTCTGAGTTACAAAAAAAAAAAAAAAAAAGAAATTAAAGAGATACTACATACAAAAGAGCCAAAATACCCTGGGCTTCATTTGGAAGTCATATCACCATAAGATTGCACAACTTAGGGGAGGACAAAGGACTTTGCCTTGCTTGGAATTTGAACAAGTTACACTCAGATGTTCTAAAGTTCTATGTAGCTAAGAAATTTTGCAGATTAGCTCTTAGAAACCAGAAATCCTTAAATTAGGTCTTAAGTTTCCTTAAGAGTTTCTTATTTTCTTTGGCATAACATCTTTTAATTCTTATATTATCACTGGTTATATTTGATCTGGGTTCTATTTAAACAGGCACAAGTTCAAGCAAAGATTAGACTCTGCCTTCAACAATGTACACTCCAACAGGAGGCACTAAGAGGTAGATGTAAATCACTCATGAAGTTACTACCATCATTGTTTTCCTGTGTCGAAAGGCTTCTGCAGTCCACAACTAGGGAAATTATTTAATTATATTTGATAACGTAATGCAAACTACTATAAGAAAAACGTTATCCAGATATTTCTACCCCGAAACAACTTATTATAAACCAAGAACACATGACCACTGCCTCTAAGTTATCAGTGTTACAAGTGAGGAACTGCATATACTGTGCAAAAAGTACTAATATTCCAGTCCTGTACCAAACCAGGAGAGTGTGCGTCTTCATGCACCTCTTTGGTTATTAGTGTCCAGTCACATCCATGCTCCAGAAGGGGCCATTTTTAAAATTTCCTTCTCTAAAAAGGACTTGCTATATTGAAAGGTTGTATCTATTCCCTGTAAGTCTTGTACTTTGACAATTTCCAAACATTATGACTTTATCATTCTCTTAGTTGTTCGATAAATATTTATTGTTTCTACAATGTGTAAGGCATTGTGCTAAAGTGCTACTAAGGGATATAAATTTTTAAATGGATAAAGATCTTGCTAATAAATAGCGTATAGTGTAAAAGGGAAGAAAAGCTGGCCCATCTCAATTCTATCTAAATAGAAGGTGAGTGAAATATTTCGGTCAATCATTGTAAGCCACAAAAACGGACAGCTTGGTTCAGAGAAGTTTTGAAATGTGCCCTTTGTGACCAAGGATCACAATCGTAACTTTTCCCTTTATAGAAGAAGGAAAAAACTTGAATTTTTTTAGCTCGACATACAATTCTTTAGTTCCATCACGTGTATCAGTACAAAAAGTAGGATGAAACTGAGTAAAAAGGGTATTTTTCTTTTTCTTCCACGTTAGTAAACGTATTTGTATATTTTTATTAACTCCTGTTATTTCTGCTACAAATATTTATATGGTTCTTTCTTAGATACTTAAGAAAAAATACACACAGGCTAGTCAAAAGACACAATTCTTACAAAGGTCCAAAAGACCAAAACTTAGAAAACCCAAATTCTGGCAAACTTTCCCAGCTCACAGGTAATGTTCTACACGCTTTGTAAATATTAACTCTTAATCTTTATACAGTCCTATTGAGGAGGTACCTTCACCAGACAGGTAAGAAAACAAGAGGTACAGAGAAGCTAAGTAATCTGGCCAAGGGTGAAGCTACAGACCAGCAGAGCCAGGAGTCTAACTCTGGTGATCTTCCTCCAGATTCATGCTCTGACCCGCTACACTACACTACCTCGACTTTAACTTTTATATTCAAAGCCCTTAATTCCAAATGATCAAAATAAAGATCTTCTATTTTATGTCAGGAAGAAGCATTTCTAAGAATATAAATTTAGAAAAGATCATTCATTTTGTACAATGCTGCTTGACAATTTAAAACTTAAATTCAAATTCACTGTGTCAACATTTCTCCCTTAGTTAACTTTATTGAAATTTTCTTTTAGGTAGGATTGATTATTCACATACACATACACAAGTTAAAAGTTTCATATAACAACTGATAGTTTAGGCCATTCCTATTTGCCTGATACTGTTGCTACACGTGTTATTTTTTAATTTCTCATAACCCTATAAATTGTATACGATAATTACTCCAGCTCCACAGATGAGGAGACTGAAGTATAGGACTTTAGGCAGCTTGTCCAAAGCCAGACAGCTTGAGCTGATTTCTGGACCAAGACCCTAGCCTGACTCCAGAACCCATGTTCTTAATTCTATAATATAAATATATCATGATCAGGTTTAAAGGGTTTGTTATTTTTTTCAAAAAGTTCTTAAACTGTTAACTCAACAAGGATCATCACTTATAATTTAAACATTTAGTGTTTTTCCTTTTAACATTAAGTTTCCAGCACAGTGGGGCATTTATTTTTAGACATACTATATACTATAAATCTTTTGTTTTTGGTAAATTTGTCTTATCAAATTTATTGCTATACCAGACAAACTTGAGAAAACCTGATGATAAGCAAGTTGATTCTGACACTGAAAGTATTCACAATTTCATTCTATTTTGACCTCAGATTGCAGGTCTATTGGTCCTTCAGTGGCCACATGAAAAAGAGTATAAAACACAGATGTTGAACATAATAGGAAAGAGGGTGAAATGCCTCTAATGGTACTTACTATGCATGGGATTTTGTGATCAGGTACAGGATAGTTAAGATATATAATGTGAAATTAAAAAACATACTGACAAATAATTATATTACATATAATTATATGTTTGCTTATGTAGAATACCACAAGAATACAACACTGAGAAGCATTAACACCACCTGAGAGGGTTAAAGAAGTCTTCACAGAAAATGAATGGGTCACTGTTTCCAAAAGAATTAAAATACAATGAGTAAAATACAATCTTTTTTTTTTTTTTTTTTAGGTTTCATTTATGTATTTAGAGAGAGAATGAGCATCCCGACAGGCTTCTGACACTGCAATCTACCTTCAGCCCAGGCATGGGTCTATTTGTGCCTGCTGTACTCAGGGAGGTCTCAGGACTTGAACTGGCAACCTTCCTATGTGGATCTGTTTTATAGAGTGTGGCCTTTTACCACTATACCACTCTTTGGCCTTTAAAAAATACATTCTTGATTTACTAACTTTTCCTCAACTTTAATGATGAATTTACCCATTAAAGAGTTTTTTGATTTATAAATCTCTCTTTTTTGGGGAGGCTGGGGAGGAAGTTTTTGCTATAGGGCACGTGCGCTCACCAGAAAGACAGAGAGACAAAAAGTGAAAAATCTCCCAGGAGGGATGGCCACGCTGCAATCCCTTTTCCTCCATTCTCCTCTCAGGATCTTGGGCACACACACACACACATGCACACGCACCTGGCGTGAGTTTAAGCCATTGGGTCTGGGACTCGAACCGTGGTCGACGACATGGGAGCCCAGCAACAAAGCCATTACGCCAGCTGCTGATCCCCTGATGTATAAATCTTATTACAAATTGTGAAACATTAAAATTGGTTTTAAAAGTAGGTAGAGCCAGGGTGCCAGCAAGTGGCATGGTGGTTGAGGTGCTGGACTTTCACATGGCCAATTGTGGTTCAAGTCCTGGACCTGGCAGCTTGCTTTCTCACGTTCCCTCTCTCTGTCTCTCTCTAGTCAAATTAAAAATAATAATAATAAAATAAATAAATAAAATTAAATAGATCTTTAAAAAAAAGTAGGTAGAGCCCATAACACTGAAAAGTGAAGTTTATACTAAAACAAAGTGAAAAACAGTAACAATTTCAAACTATCTATTAAGTTAGTTGCTCATTTCTTTGATTTCATTCAACATTGATCTAACTCAAAGTGGAAGAAGGTTACATTTGTGCAAGTTAACATAGCTTAATAATTAACTTTATTCACCTTCCAACCTTAGCTTTGATGTGGCAAAGAGTGGTATATATAGAGTTAAGTCTAGGTTTGCTTTACTGGAGAAAAACAGTCGCAAATCATTTGAAATTGAGAAATTAGGATAAAAATGTACATGATTAAGCTCTTTCTTTTTATTGTTCCTCTAGTTATTTCCTCCAGAATTGACCAAGACAAATCATCATTTGATTCTATATCACCAGAGCCAAAATCAAGATTTGCTATGTTAGATGATGTAAAAATTTTAGCCAATGGCCTCCTTCAATTGGGACATGGTCTTAAAGACTTTGTCCATAAGACTAAGGGCCAAATTAATGACATCTTTCAAAAACTCAACATATTTGATCAGTCTTTTTATGATCTATCACTGCAAACCAACGAAATCAAAGAAGAAGAAAAGGAACTGAGAAGAGCTACATCCAAACTACAAGTCAAAAATGAAGAAGTGAAGAATATGTCACTTGAACTCAATTCCAAACTTGAAAACCTCCTAGAGGAAAAAATTCTACTTCAACAAAAAGTGAGGTATTTGGAAGAACAATTAACTTTAATTCAAAATCAACCTGAAATTCAGGAACATCCAGAAGTAACTTCACTTAAAGTAAGTAGATACCAAAGAGGGTTCATGTTTATGTTTTCAATGTAGACCTTTTAAAAAATACTTCTAAGATAATACAATTTAAATATGTTGTTGCATGACTGAAATATTTTTTCTCATGAAAAACAGCCTTCAGAAAATAAAATTTCCTGTTATAATTTCAAATTTTTGTTTTCCTAACATTACATGCAAGGACCTTAGAACAGTTCATGAAAAATATGTGTATTATGAAAAATTTATGCATGAATTTCAAATTTTTTTGCATTAACATCTCACTTTAAGTTCATTTTCCAAGAATTTTTTGAAGTCCCTCATATGTACTGAAACTAAATTTATATCTGATACAAAAATTACAAATCAGTTAAATAATAAAAATTAGAACATTAAATTACTGCACTATTGCACATACCAGAGGTAAGTAAAAAGTTCAAGAAATTTAAATTTAAAACTATTCTCCCATGTTTAAAATAGATGAAAATTATATAGTAAGTGATAAAGACATATTCCTATTAAAATACTGTGGGGTTTTGTTTGTTTAATTGAAGTTCAGATCATTAAATTTCAGAAATGGCAATTTTAAATAAACTGTAAGAACCAAGATGCATGTGTTATTGCAAAGAAACATAAGGAGAAGATGATTGCCAATATTCATTTTCTAATCCACTATTAGTTTTTAAAAATTAAGTAATGATAGTGTTATAGAAAATAATAACTTTAACTAAAAAGAAAGAAACTTTGACCAACCTAAGATCTTTGCCCAGACTTTTGTAGAACAGCAAGATAATAGCATCAAAGACCTTCTCCAGACCGTGGAAGAACAATATAGGCAATTAACCCAACAGCACAGTCAAATAAAAGAAATAGAAAATCAGGTAAGTGAGGGGTGGCAGGTAGCATGGTGGTTAAAGGTGCTGGACCACCATGGTTCAAGTCTCGGACCTGGTGGCTTCCTTTCTTGCTTCCCTCTCATGTCAAATTGGAAAATAATAATAAATAAAGTTAAACTGAAAAATAATTCTTAAAAAAAGAAAAGAAAATCAGGTAAGTGAATATTTTAATGGTATGCCCAATCTTTCAGACTGATTTATAAAAACACTGAACCTAAAATTATTTAGAAGTTTAAATTGGATTACAAATAAAACGATCACATCGGCATGATTAAGATCGCAGCCTTTGAAGCTCATAAATTGTTTGAATCACATCCCTAAACTTTTTCTATATGACCTTGCGTGAGTTCTTAAACCTCTCTGTTTCCCCACCTATCCTATGAAGATGATACAGAAACCTCTTATTGGATCATTGTAAGAAAAATAAAATTAATTCATAGCAGCCTAAGTGATCCTTTTCAATTTTCAATTAGATCATGTCTTTCTTTTGCTGAAAGCCCCCTAAAGGTTTCCCCTCTTATCATACTTGGCTCCTAAGACTTGAGATGACCTTCACTGGCTCCTGACTTCACCTTTTCAACTCTGGTCCTATTGGCCTCTTCACAGTTACTCAGACACATGACACACACTGCCACCTCAGGGCCTTGGTCCTTACTGTTCCCTCTATCTGGAATTCTCTTCTCCCTGGGATCTGCCTGGCCACTCTTTCATTTCCTTTGGGACTTTATCAATGAAACCTTTCTAAGTCACTTAATCAAAAATTACGGCCTTCTACTCTCATCCCTGAAAGCTTCAAACTCCTTAACTACTTTTCTCTTTAAAACTTTATTTATTTATTTATTTATTTTGAGAAAAAAAAATAATAATAAAATACAATGTGAACAGCTGGCTAGATGAAGGAGAGAGGAAATTAGAATAAAGCTTTGTCAGAATCTAAGCATTCCACTATATACTACAATCACTTAAAAAATATTATTTAGGGGGCTAGCAGGCGGCATCGTGCTTAAGGTGCTAGACTCCCATATGGCAGACCATGGTTTGAGCCCCGGATCCAGTGGCTTGAAAATCACACCAGGCCCGTGGATATGTGTGTGCCCAAAATCCCAGGAGCTGAACAGAGAAGGGACTGCGGCATGGCCATCCCCCCTGGGGGGTGATTTCTAGCTTTCTGTCTCTCTGTCTCTCTCTGTCTTCCTGGCAAGCGCATGTGCTCTCTAGCAAAAACCTCTCAAAAAAAAAAAAAAAAAGAAAAAAAAAAGTTGAAAACCCAACATATCTTAAACAGTACTGCTAAACTAACAATGAAATATTGAATATACAGCAAATAAAGCTGACAATCTGACAACAGCTTACTACTGAGGTTTATTAAGTTCAAAATATGCCTGTGTTACTGAATAGAATATCTAAGCAAATCTGAAATACTCTAAGCAAATCTGCTTTTGACATTGCTCTGTTTTTTGAACAACTGTATGTAACAATTGTTGGTTTTTTTTTTTTTTTTGGAGAGATTTTCACTATAGGGTGCGTGCACTCACCAGACAGAGACATAGAGACAGAAAGCGAGAAATCACCCCCCAGGAGGGATGGTCACGCCGCAATCCCTTCTCCTCCATTCTCCTCTCGGATCTTGGGCACGCACGCACATGCACCCGGCATGAGTTTTAAGCCTCCGGGTCCAGGACATGAACCACGGTCGACTACGTGGGAGTCCAGCGATATAGCCATTACGCTAACTGCTGGTTCCCACAATTGTATTTTTTAATGCACTAAGTAATGTGCCTGATGAAGTATTTTATGGAGAATTTGTACGCCTGGATAGCATTGCTTATCCCTCTCTTTCCTGCTTTTCTGCCAGAGGGCACAAGTGCTCACCCAAGGGAAACAGAGAGACACAAGGAAAGGGAGAGGGAGAAATCACCCCACAATGAGGCATGGTCAAGCCACAACCCCTTCTCTTCCATTTCACCATCCTGTCAATATTTTTGAGCAAGCACACACACACCTGGAGCATTTTCAAGCCAACAGTGCCAGAATTCAAACAACGTGGTCAGTCATGTGGGATCTGGATCCCTTAACCAGCAGGCCACAGGGAGACCCTGTTTATCCCTCTTAACATCAAAAGCAATAAACATTATGAACTGAAAGGCAAAATGCACACACATTATACTTCCAATATCCTCAGTCAGATTTCTCCTAATTGTAGATTAAATACTATTTTGAAAGTAGATTTATATTCTTTTAACAGCTCAAAAGAACCGGTATTCAAGAACCCACAGAAAATTCTCTTTCTTCCAAGCCAAGGGCACCAAGAACTACTCCCTCTCTTCAGGTGAATGAAACAAAAAACGTAGAACATGATGGTAAGATAATATCATGGGTTTCCTTTTTTAATTTTTTAAGTTAATTTATTTTTCTGTTGAGAGTGAGCAAGACAGAGAAAGGGGAGAAGGCACCCCCAACAGGGTCCTCTTGTCACAATCCATTCTCAGCTTGGTTCAGCTAACCTGGACCACAGGCATGCACGCGTGTCCACAGAATGCAGAGAGGCCTTGGGATGTAAACTGGGACTCTCATAAGGTCTAGAAACCAGGGCATTTCATGTTTCCTTAAAGCTATTATCATCAAATTTCCTCTTCTCAGGACTCACTCTAGACTAAAAGAAAGTAAAGAAACATATCTACCAAATACATTGTGTCAACCTAAATTAGACCTTGGGGTTTATTTTAAAGTCCCACAAAAGACATCCTTAAGATCCTTCATCCTAATCAGAGAAATGTAGGTATGGATTTAATATTAGATAGTGTGTATTACATTAGATGTGCTAATGATATGACAGTTATGTTAGAGAATACCTCATGTGTAAGAGACACATGGTGAAATATTTATGAGCTTAAGGATCATGGGTATTTGCAAATTACTTTCAAATCCACAACAAAGTACATGTTTGTATATGTGTGTGTATAAAAAAATGACAAAATGCTAGCTACTGTTGAATTCAGATAGAAAGATGACGTTGGTCTCCTCAGCAATTCATTCTGCTTTCCTGTTGCTTGAATATATTCACACAAAAAAATGAAAGTTGTGGGAAACAATATCTCCATTCCTAGCCAAACTTAAAAAAAAAAAAAATGCACTCTCAAAACGTTTATTTTTTATGTAATTACTACAGAAAAAATAAAATGATCTCTATTTTAGTTTTTTCCACATAGGTTTACACTTTCCACATAGCTCTCTTTACTAAATGCTATAAGTCAAGCACTGTGCTAAGTCTTATGTTCATTTTTGCCATTTTATATTGTTTCTGTCTCACACACCTGCATAAATAATAATAATAATAATGTGTTTAAAATTCTCATTTTATCCCTTTCATAAAAAAATCAATTTGGTAATAACTATTTTTATACTCTTTGCATAACATGCCATCAAATAAAAATGCTTTAGTATAAACACAGCTATAATTTAGTATTAAAAAATATATATTCACACCAAGTGCATGAAATATCAATTGAAATCTCAAGCTCTGGAATATCATTCCTGC